CCGACAAAAGGGTTGAAAATAACACAAGCGTCGACAGTTCCGGACTCAAGTACCACGAGTGACGCACCATCATTTTCAATCCAGTCGATCGAAGAACAGCATCATCATATTCGTATAAACGCTGTATCAACAAGATATCATTCACAGGTGCATCTGCGGTGAGCCTGCATGAAAACCATGATTGAAGATAAACACATATGGTAAACCGATTAAAGCGCTGAATACCTTGTAATTCTCGAGCTGTTAACTGAAAGATGGTTTCGTTGCCTGCAAACAATAGTTCGATTTTCAATGCATAGATTGCTTTCGCCATCCACCTTGCCCTATGTAGGGCACCAGGTCTGCGAATGCTGACATCAACCTCCAACCCAACCATTTGTGCAGCAAGCAGAAGAAATTCCAAATAATCATCACGTGAATGACTGACCTCAAGTTGACATTTGATAAATTCTTTAATCGAATCGGACACGATTATCAAAGGGGCGGATCTGGCTTCGGGTGTGTGGTTTAATTCTGGCCATTTTTCTCGAAACCTCTTAAAAAACAAAATCTCTGGTCCAGTGGATGGTCCAAGACAAACATTGAATGCATCGGAAAGGAGTACTTCCAACATGTGATGACGGCATGCCATCCATAATAGATTACGTCCCAGGGCTACTTCTAACAGAGTGCAAGCTCCATTGAGTCTTCCAGTATTGGAAGCCGTAGTGTCGAAGCACTTGCCGATGACCATAGATTCGCACTTCCACGATTTGATATGTTCATATACTGCATCAGCAGCTGCCCGTCCGGACCCGGATGCTAACTTGGGAACACCAAGAAGCTTTGTAGTGCCATCGACAAGTGATGAGAGCAGGACAGGTAATCGATCGACGTTGTTGGTAACCTCTCCGGTAACATCGGGCAATAGCTTACCATCCCAATGAACAATTGATTTTGAGGGAATATAGTCTTCTTTTATACATGCTGCAGCTTGTTGACGACGAAGCTTGCGATGACAATGCATTGTGCTCTTGGAAAATACTGCTTAGTTTAAAACAATCAAATCTTCAAAAAATATGCACAAGTTTTGCACATTAGGTATTTTATATGTTTTCTCGCATTTATTACATTTTCTAATTAAGAATCACACAATTTCAACTCTAGTTAATGGTAGCAATGAGGTAAATATAAGTATATTTAAACTTCATTTTATTCATATATGCATGCAAAAACTGCAAGTTATTTGAGCCACGATTCGTCTGGATTTTTATGTTGGCCTAATACTGGAATTTTAAGAGCTCTTGGGGGACCTCTAAATGTTGTTCAAATGAGCTACAACTTCACCAATTCACTCATTGTACCCAAGAGACACATTTCAGGGGGTGAGACACCAAAGATTAAAAAAAAAAATTTTTCCAAGCATTTCTGGGACGCCCTACTATATAGTTTATATAAGGCAACGCATTCCCTTATCACTAAAATACTGTTTAGGGTCGACTTATTTTAAACTTTCAACTTTGGCACATGAACAATTAATTGCTTTCCCTGACCAATGGTTTAATAGCTTTTGCACACGGCAAACTCTTATGAATGAAACTCTGAGATAGTACTATGATACAGCGGTTATGCAAGTGGCTGTGAATGGTTGCCAATGACAACGTGTTGCACAGGGAAAATTCTGATCATTTAAAATATGGACTCTACAGGGTTTTTAAAGCTCAAATTAAAACCTCCCAGTTTAAATGTCTTCAAAATGCGCTCTGAAACACAAGTTATCAATTATTTTGCTGTAAATAGTGATAATAAATTAATATTTCCTAAGTATCGGCAACTTCCGCCATTAAAAAGGGGGCGTGGCCCACCCCATGGCGAAATTAGGTTGAGCGAGCTGAATGACCTGCTGCAAACGCGTAGAAACATGGCGTCTCTCGTAAGGCACTTATCGTTGTGAAAATTGGCATACATGTAGATCAATAGATTCCCCAGATGCAAAAAAAATTTGGTAGTGACAAATTTTTTCCTTCGACTTAATTTTAATGATGAAAGTTGCCTTATATTTACCAAGTATTTTCTCAAAGCTAACTGATTGTAAATGAAAAAGAAATTGATTAAAATGTAGGCCAAGATGTCTACCTAATTAGCAGGCCGAAAACGGAACTCAAATATATATCAAAAGTACTAATTTAATAATAGACACACATCGGAACATTAAAAACTCGGATTTTTCGGCGCCGATTGCGAATTCCCATACACAAAAAGTAGTAGTCTCCCTTGACTTACCGAAGTATCTACTTTTAATCAAGCATTTAAGTCAGTGGTGAAATATGTGAAGGGCTCCACTTCTTCCATTGCATTTCCTGCCAAGGCCAAAGAGATGTACTTTATCTGTTTTGACCAAAAAAAGTGTCAGAATATCGATAATATACCGCTTCAGTCAATTAATTGTTGTTTTAGTACGGATGATAAAAGTAAACAAATTCTACACCATGAGAAGTTTTTTTTTTAACATTTGGTACTAAAGATTTCTAAAGTTTAAAGAGAGGCTTCTCTATAATTCTATATAGCAAACGAGGTATATTGAAGCTTGAATTAAAGGACAGGACAATAAGATTTGAACGTTTGGGCATGGAGCCTTCTTCAGCGCACATGACAAATGAAAATATCAAAAAGAACAGACCACAGTAAACAACTCACGAAATATCCATTTTTATTGCCGGAAGTCGGATTACAGGAAGTGAGAGAATAGAAATATTGACACTGTGAAAGATAAGGTCCACAAAAATAATGGACCAAAATATCAAAGGATACATAATCACACATTAATAAGCAGATGGTAGAACTACAGGGAAACAGAGAAACATTAGTAGGAATTACTTGATTAATACCACATGGAGATATGGTGCCAAACAGCTGAATAAATCTATTTTCCATTTTAACCCTGTCTTGTGTGTTAGAACAGGAAATCAGTGCCCTAATGCTTACATCTAATGTACCTTTATGTTCATCTCTGTTGAAATGTGAAGAGACTGGGGAAAGCTTGCCTTGTTCAATATCCCGGAAATGTTCAGTGAATCTATCAGCCAATCTTCTCCCAGCTTCACCTATGTAACTAGATTGGCATCTACGGCACACAAGGCATATAGCACATTGCGGTTGATGCAAGTGAAACCCTCTTTAATGGTAAAGGTACCTTTAGTTTGGAGTGTGAAGGGACAAGTCCTACAGCGGGTTCTTAAGCATGGTTTAGTATCAAAGTAGGATGGGTCAGATCGGAGGTGACTATGAACCAGAAGATCACCTAGATTTCTGTCCCGTCTAAAGACAATCAGTGGAGTGGATGAGAAAACCCTGTTAGTATCAGGGTCAGCAAGAAGTATGCCGCGATTTTGTAGGAACATTTTTTTTTTGGCAGTTAAATTGTGAGGGTGGTAGGTTAGTATAAGTTTGGTACGATCTTCATTGTTGTTTTGACGAGGCTTGAAAGCATCTTTCCGTGTGAACGTGTCGATGCGAACTAATAATAATAATAATGATGATAATAAAGCTTATTTCAAAACCACGCTTCATCCCCAAAGGCTCAAAGCGTGGTACAAAGTCATCCATATTAAAAAAAGAAATGAAAAAATCTATAGTTCACCACATTGAAATACAAAATGCAACAGTACAAAAACTACATACGAGAATACCCATTCTAAGTCTTTCATCCCTTGCAACCATAAACAACACAGGCCACTTTACATCTAGGAGATAATAGCTAGCTGGAAAAGATGGTAGACAAATTCACCCCAACAGGTGTCTGCGAAATAGATGTTATGTTTTCAATTCAGTTTTGAAAGACTCCAGTGTTTGGCTGTTTCTGAGAGCGACAGGAAGTGTGTTCCAAATTGTTGGGCCAGCAAATGCGCCTAGTGCTGAGACAAAAGTAGTTTCAGGATAGGATCTGGAGCGGAAGAAATCCATCATTTCATCAGCTCTTTCCAAAAATTCCTCATCAAGTTGGCAGAGACGCCGTAGTCTAAGAAGTTGTGCGCAGGATATAGAGCCTTTGCATGATTTGGGGTGGGAAGATGGGTATAAAAGGCTATAAAAGGTAACTATGGCTGTCAGTTAGGTTCAAATATTTATAGTGATTTTTGACGCATTTCTAATGAATATAAATTTTAGCATTTATAGTTGGGGTAGATTATAGTGGGGTTGCTACAGAACCTTTGCGTGGGTCTTGCTGAACTGCGCTTGCAGAGGATCTCTGAAATTAAAGGGGTCCAAAATTATTACGGGCAAAAATCTAAAAACTATCATCGAATGCGGGTGTTTGGGGAAAAAAAACAACAACAAAAAAACAAAAACAAAAACAAAACAAGAACTAAAAGTGGCAGTGATTATCGCCTGTCGGTGGAGGGGGTTGCTCTGGAACCTAACCCCGCAATGGACTAGAGACAACTGTCCATTATTGGACACATATTTTCAGACCTTGTGCGATTTACCCTGTGGCGTACCTTCACTAAATGCCGCGTGGGACAACTCCGAAATTGCACCCCTAGCGCACGTCAATTAAATAGTTTTATATAGTGTTGTAATAAGCATAAAGGCAGCCCACGGCGGTAGACCTCTTCGTCCTCCACCCCACGTTTTCTTTTTAAGTAAGATACCCACTAATTATCCAAGTTTCAACATAGGTCCCCGTTTCAACTCTTAAACTTATGGTTTATTAAATTCTATGTCATGTTTATATTCATGTGTTTAAATTTTTTTTTTTGTATACATAAACATTTTCATCTCACTACTCTAATATATTTCATGAATTCTAGCGATTTTTTAAAAAGATTTTATGTAATCAAGGACACCAATATTTGACATTTAAACAGATTCGTGTTTTATATATTACTTGACTTCTATGTTTTTAAGAAACCACACAAACAATGATGGCATCACTTTTGTAAATAGATTTCTTACTCTACTGACATTTTCATCTACAGCGGTACGTCTTTGCTTGGATAAAAATTTATTAACTGCTAAATAAATTAAGCACGAAATTAGTTTCTATATAGGCCTACATTTTTCCATTCTTGCAATTTTAGGCTTATATTAAATAATTTTTAAAAATCTTCTTCGGTTTCTCCGATGACGCTGCTGATCCGATGATGAATTGAAAACCAAAAAGTTCAAATTCAAAAGACTAATAGTAATACTAATACTGAAAATAAAATAAAAATCAGCCAACGAATTACAGGAAAGAACCCCAGTGGGCCTTACTCTTCACTAGTTTACACTAGTTACTCACCACTATTAAATTGTGTAAGTGTAGAGTACTAATACTCAACTTTGACTTTAATCAGTTGATAGTGTTATATATTACTTTAACTTTAGTTTACTTTAAAATTAAGTAAAGTAAAGTAGTAAAAAGTTGTATTATCAATTATATCACTTTCTATTGTATTATTAGTTACTAAATTAGGCCACTATATTTGAGTTGAGTAGGCCTTATTTGTCACAAACACTACTACTAGTAACTACTATTACTAGATTTAGACTACTACTACGGATGAAACTAGTTAGTAGTTAGTACTAGTATAAGTAAAAGTGCTAGACTCTATAACTATACTACATTATAGTATATCTATAGGCCCTAAGTAATTTAAATACTTGGCAAATTTAGATAATTGGTGCCAGTAGGGATACATGGTAAAATTTAGGGTTCAGGTTAGTTAGGGATACATTTAGGGTTAAGGTTAGGTTATCATTATTTAGCTGTTTAAGGATTTAACATTAACGAATCACAGTGATAGCAGCCATTTCCGGCTTCTTGATCAAAATAAAAAAAATGACAATTTTGTACCCCCACTCCTTCGTGGGATGCATAACTTTTTATAGACAAAGTCAAGATAATAACTCAAACAATGAAAAAACTCTTTAAATGAATGTAGATTGGGTATCACGAAACCTTATTTTGGTTGCTTAACTAATAAAAAAGTATTTATGGGATTTATATACTAACCGAGTCATTATAATAATACTGTCCGGAATACACACAAAAATCTAGTGGCATAAATCAATATATCACCGGAACACAAAAACTGATACGTCACTGATGAGGAAAGCATTATTTAATAAACAAAGGTTACGTAGTATGCAATTTTCCAAAGATACTGTGTAGCCGTACGCCATATTGTAGAACACATTTTTTCGACATTTTAGGACATGCGCAGAACGGTGCGTGAACAATTATTGTTATCCCTAGTTTAGGGATACATTTAGTATTTAGGGTTCAGGTTTGGTTTAGTGACAGTGAATTATAAAAGTTCACGGGTCGTGGCAACCAAAATGGCAGCTGTGTGATTACGTTGTGGCACCAATTGTCTGCATTTACATTTACCAAATACTTAAATAGTAACACTAAAAGGGTGGAGGCTCAGTGGAGGGTGGTACACTAAAGTACAGTGACTGAGTCACTTAGTTAGTGAGAAAAGAGACTACAATTATAGTATGATTCATTCATTGTGAATTTCTTAGAATTTCTACAGTAATTAAAATTTCAACTTGATTTCTTCTACCACAGAAAATTTGACTAGATCATATATTATTGTTTGACCAAGCTAAAATCACATTTATGGGCTGTTATTTTAGGGTTATGTCTTATTTTTTTCATGTACAACAATCTACATAATACTAGATTTATTTGTGTACCAAACTCTCTATATATTCATTTACTACAACAATCAAGGCACTTCTTGTCAAAGTATCCTGCTCGAAAGAAAGTGAAGTACATAAGGCTTGCAACACAACTGTCAATGATTATGTTTGGCAATAAATCTCGAGTTTTGATTACATACTGGTAGTTTCCGTCTGGGGCTTATTTTTAGGAGAGAGCTTATAGTACAAGTACAAGCATTCTGAAAAAACATGCTGACGATAGTGAGCTATTCTAATCATAAGAAGATTACCGTCATAGTGCAAGAATAAACTAACAGGTAATTTTGAATTTAAACTTCTTCCATTTAGGTAATAGTCACTAATGGTAGGTAAAAGAAAAACTTAAGTAAATTGAAGTGGCTATTCGGACCCGGGTCCGCAAAGTGAGAGGTTGGGATTAAAATTTAAAATAAAATATTATTGTTAGGTTGTAAGATAAAGTTTGGTATCATATGAAAGATAATTGAATTGACTATATGCTTGTAAACTTACTTTTTCAGTTTAACTAAAATAAACTACCACAAATGACATCCGAATAGCTTGAGTCTAATGGGACCCGGGTCCAAAAAGCAGCGATGCGTTTCCGGTTCCATTTTGAATAAATTCTATTCGGATGTCATTTGTGGTATTTTATTTTAGTTAAGCTTAAGAAGTAAGTTTACAAACATGTAGTCCATTCAATTATCTTTCATTTGATACCAAATTTTGTCTTACAAACCCTACAATTATTTTTAAATATTTTTTAATAAATCCAAATTCTTAACGGGTCCGGATAGCCGCATCCTAAGTAAATACCAGGGAACAATAACATTAATTTAAAAGAAATTTACAAGACTTTCTTAACAAGGGCTTTCATAAAACAGTTCTATGTAATTTGATATGGTGTTCTATTTCTCTTTACTGTAATTATTATATCGTTTTGTCTCACAGTTTCTAAAATTTTGTTTATATTTTTCTATATCCAGAAAATTCAACAAAGACATCACAGAAAATATAAGAAGATTAATTCGTGCCATGGAACTTGCTTGTATTTCAAGATACCCCATCACAATAAGGCATTCTTTTCTGCAGTTAGTAAGATGGATACATCTGAGCTCAAGACCCTGTTTTTTAGGCAAGCTGCAATCAAATCATAATGTAACATCACCAATGTACAACAATGCTCTTTTATCAAGCCATCTTATGGTCTGGCCACATGAAAGTAGGTTTAGACATCATGTTGGGGTAAGGGAAATGAATACTTCTGCAGCATTGCAAGCTAGTAAATTTCTGAAAAATCCAAAGACTTCCTTAGAATCCAAACAATTAGAACACATACTGATAAGGGAAAGCACATTGAGAGACACCAGTGCTAGGCAGTACAGGGGCATTTCCAAGAAACATGGTTTCCCACTTAATACTTCTTCATGTGTCACCTTATGTCCCCTCATGGCTGTAATTCCACATCATTTCTTCTCCATGAAGAGGAAGAATTACATATTCCCGGAACTAAAGGCGGATGACTTGGAAGAGATGTATGTTCGGGGAAGTGGACCAGGGGGTCAGTCTGTCAATCAAACATCAAACTGTGTTGTCCTCAAACATAAGCCAACAGGGATTGTGGTAAAGGTTGGTAATTTATTCCTTTATCAAATGACAGATTAAAAAATGTATAAAATTGTATAACTTGACCAGGTTATGCTGGTCTGTTTTATCATAGTAAATATGCTATTCATTTCATCATAGAAAGTATGTTGACATATGAATTTTAAAAATAATAAATTCACTCCTTTTTCTTTAGTTTTAAACTTGACCTTTCAAAAGTTTCTCTCCTTTGTGTATACATTTTAAGAAGTTTATTATTTAAATCCATATTTTTATAAACAATTTTAATTAAATTTTATTTTTTATATAATGTTTTTTTTGTTGTTTTTTTTAAAGTATCTGTCTTCAAAAGATTTTACAACTTTTCTTGACAGTGTCATGAAACTCGTTCTTTGGAAGAAAACAAAAAAATAGCGAGAAGAAAACTGGAAGAAAAAATTGACCTGCATCTTCAGGGTGACAAAAGTTTTTTGAGTCAAGTGGAAGAAGATTCTAGACAAAACAAACAGGAAAAGAAACGCAGGGCAAACAAACGCCTGGCCTTAAAAAGGGCTTTCAAGGAACAAGAGAATTCTGAATGAGTTATTGCCTAAGTTTCTGTATAAAAGAATGAGATTTTTATTAGAGATAATATTGTTAGTATAACCTTTGAGGTTAATCATTTTAGGGCTTCGCAAAAAAAAAAAAAAAAAGGGCTAAACTGAATGGAAAGCAAGTTCCTCATAGCAAAAACTTGAATACTTTTTTATTGCCTAAGTTTCTGTATAAAAGAATGAGATTTTTATTAAAGATAAAATTGTTAGTATAACCTTTGAGGTTAATCATTTTAGGGCTTCGCAAAAAAAAAAAAAAAAAGGGCTAAACTGAATGGAAAGCAAGTTCCTCATAGCAAAAACTTGAATACTTTTGCTTTGTATTAGATAAAGCTGTCTACATTTATAAAATTTTACATTTCTGAAAATTAAATGTGATTGATTCATTGTTTGATAATGCTGACACCAGTAGATTGTTGGATAATACTGACACCAATTGATTGTTAGATAATACTGACACCAGTAGATTGTTGGATAATACTGATGCTAGTAGTTGTCTACCGTCAAATTGTGTTCATTATATTCTTGATTTAAATTGATCTTTGATTAAATTTATTGTGAACAAGAAATCGACAGTTCATTATGTTTTTTATTCAATTATCATTATATTCATGACATATTTAGTCTTCATTAATCCAATTATCATACAATATATTCATGACATGTTTGGTCTCCATCAATCTAATTATCACATGATATATAAATGAAATGTTTGGTCTTCATCAATCTAATTATCATATGGAAAAAAACTCATTAACTGTCAGGGATCATGTTGGAGGGACAGATATACTTTCACAGTCAACACAATTGATACTTCAGCTCATCTGTTCCTTTCAATCAGTTTGTCTTCTTTCGGGAGAAATCTCAAAATAGAATTGAAATTAACATCAAAATTATCATTCTTGGTACGGAAATTTAAGACGGGGGAAATGAAAAAGAATCAAATTTTCCGCACCAAAAAACAAAGCCAGTCTTATAAAAAGTAACAGCAAATCATAATGTATCATGAATTTCTTTAGGTAATTTTTAACAAGGGAAAATGACTAGGAGATCAATATTATGCTATGGTCACTAAAACTTATGTGGACACTTTTATGGCACGGTAACTAAAATTTTATGTTCAAAACTTTCATTCATCTACTTATTGCTATTGCACATTTTAACAAACCACCACATCTTATTGGATGTTTTAATACAAATTAAGGAGCTGTTCATACGTTTTTAATTTTATACCTCATTTGACACTCTATAGGTCATCCCTTGTACTAAATGCCCCAAAATCTGGTATGACAGTGATAATATCAAATAAATGACATCTGTCCTGGCCATTAAATTAAGTTTTAAGCTACTTTTCATGTTACAGACAGAAAACTCTGTCACAATGACAGGTTGTGACATAGAATTATTGTCATCTTTAATGTTAACACATAAATGATGTACCGGTATCTGTTTTCTTTATTATAAAGTCTATGGAGGAAACTATAAAAATGAATAGCTGCTAGCAATATCTGTATAGCACTTCACAGCTAACTCTGACCTCTGTTGAGTCACATTCTCAAAAATGTTTATGACCACAGTGGAGTCCAGAAAGTAATTTATTCTTACTGGAAAATTTCTTTCTTACTCAAACAAAATCTGAATAATTCAACTAAGTTAATTCAATGCAGTTTAATATATTATAATAGAAGATTTTAATAGGAGACAATAAGGTAATTAAAATGTTGGATTTACATGAGAAAATAATGATGGCAAATACAATACTGGATGAAAACATTAAAAACAGTTAATGCATTAGTCGATAATAGTTTCAATACAATAAGTCATAAGGATTTTTTTGGGCTTCCATTGGACTTAAAGAGATGTTTTCCTTGAGAATCAACTGTTTCTTTATCAGCACTCTTTCCCACTCCGTGCCACTGGTGATCCCACACAGGAGTTGCAGGAATCATCTTTGAGGGATTCCAGCTTCAGATTTATCTGTTAGTTTTCTCCTATAGCCTTAACCTTGGCGATTGTAGCCTCAAGGTAGCGGAGATGTCTGGTCATAATTTTCCTTCTGTGAGATGAGCCTCCTTACAAGGTTGGCATGTTTCTGGCATTGCTGGGGCTCAAACTCCAGCCCTAAAGTGCTAAAGTGTGTATCGTATATCTTGATGTCGACACTCCTAACCACACAGACATAATACTGAAATATAAAACTTAAAGGTGTTTATAAGTTTATTATCTTAATTTGTTTCAGGTCTACCATACTCATAATTCTGATTGTCAACACTAGACCAACAAACCTACAATGTCGGGGGATTTGATCTGTAAAATTGATAGGTGAGCTTACTCAATTGACCTGCAAGAATTTAAATGTAAAATTGACAAGCTGAACATCAACAAAGTTATTCTTTCCTCTCTCTATCTCTGTCTTTTTTTTTTGTCTGGTCTTCTTGTGTATTTTTACTAGGAAGGCACAGGACGGAAATGTTCATTTTATTGTCTCGTTCTGTAATTTAAGTTACAACATATCTTGTTTTGATTTGTGAACATCAACATGAGGAGTGTCTCCAAGTAAGAACACTCATGATTAAATTTGTTCAAATATCCTGAAGCAATTACGGTCACTGAAAGTAACATTATTTTGTTAACCATATTTATCACTCATCAAGCAGAATAAATCATGCATACTATTTGAAAATATTTGTCCACAATGACTTGATCAATGGCGTGCTTAACTCATCATATACTTGCTTGAATGTTTCTGTTACTTTATTCAGGTTCAATGGTATGCTTATAGATACCTCAGAGCAAAATCTTAGCAGGGAGGATTTCTTGAAAAAATTGAAAGGTATTTTTTTTTTTTACAAAAATTGTTATCAATTATTAAATCATACATAAAATTACTACAAGAAATTAGCTGCAGCTGTAATTATACTTGTAAAACAAATTACAATTAACTTCTATACTATTCTATTTTTGTCAAGGAACAAATTCTTTTTGAAGTCTGTTCCCAACAAATCTTTTAATTTTTTTTTCCGCCAGAAGCCATTACAAAATGGAAATCTGAGGGCAAGCGAGGGCTGTGGGTGACCGCTCAGAAAGAACAAGCCGGTGTTATACCCCAGTTGATTGAGGTACCTTGCAGGTTGGGATGACACCACATACACTTTTTCTTCTCTGAGGAGACATGTCAATAAATCACTGTTTGTAGACATCAGCCCCAAGGCATTTCAAATATAGTTGAAGCATGATGAGACATATTAAACTAATTATAGTTAATATTTACATAGGCAACTATTATTTTGCCCTTTGTGTTAATTTAATAATGCTGTAAACCCTTCTATATTTTGTCAAATTGCAGGGAGTATTTATTGAGGTCCCTGGGCATTGCTTATTCCTCTGGTTAGCTTTGTGCTGCGTATCACAATGGCAGCCATATTCAACTAATAGCATTAAACAAATAAACTACATAGTGAGCAATATGGAATAAATGTAAACCATTGGGAAAAAATTACAATCCCATTATTTACTTTTTAAAATTCGAGAAAAATGAAACAGTATGCTTATTATTCATTGCTGTGACATACAGTTTGGCCCGCAATCTTTACCACTGATTTTACTAGGATTAATGGTCTTAACTTGGAAACAAATTGAGCCAATCTTTTCTCTGTGTCCACCTTTTCAATCTAGCTAGGTTTTGACTTCCACCATGCCAAAACTGGTTACGTCTGCCTGACCAAGTGGTTGCCAGAAGATATACCCAATCACATACCTGGCTATGCTAATCATTATTTAGGTACAATCACAGCAACATTTTAAATTTATTCTGCTCTTAACATTTAATCTGCAAGTCTAAAGTTGTTTTCAAAAAATGTAATTATTTATCATTATCTTTCAGGTAGAAAATATTGTGTCATGATAATGCCGTGTTCAAAGTGTTCTTTTATTAATTAAATTTATTTTTAAAAATCTATATCTATAATACGATACATATCGCAATCTTGTGTCCCTGCCTATGTAAACAATTAAGTCTAGTATTTTGAGCTGTCATCATGAAGCGTTTCAGTGTTTATAAATCTTTATAACATTTTTTTTATGTAAACTAGATAAATTATCTTAAATATCCGTGTCAGCTTGGATTCAAAAGTTAAAAATTTTTTCAACTTAATGCTAACATAAAAATAAAATATTAGTTTTTCTCTTTTATTTGGGCTAATGTTCCAAAAAATTATTTCATTATCATCTACTATCACACTTCATCTAATATCTCTCGATATCATTAATTTCTCTCTTTACAATCCCAAGCTCTCACTATTATCTAATTCATTCATTACCATCTAATTCTCTCGCTACATCTACTGCTCTTACTACCATCTAATTTTCTGTCTACCATCCAAATCTCTATCATCGATCTGATTCTCCCTCTACCACCTAATTCTCTATCGCCCATCTAATCTAATTATCTCTATCAATCATCTAATTTGCTCTCTACCATCTAATTCTCTTTCTGCCATCCATACTCTCACTAGCACCTAATTTTTCAGGTGTTGCTGGGTTTGTTGTCAACAGTCAGAATGAGTTACTTGTAATCAGAGAAAAATACCATGCTCGTAATGCTCTCTCTTTGTGGAAACTACCAGGTGGTCTAGCAGATGCAGGTGGGCAGAGAGTGTATATTTTTAGATGCACTGTAAAACTCTCATAATCTCATAAAAGTCTCACTATAAAACCATAAATGTGATAAATGTATCAATTGAACAGTTGTTTTGCCTTACGCTTACACATACGGGAAATTCTAAAATTCTGTGCTCGATTTAAGTTTATGTTAGGAACAAATGCATTTGAACTAACCGTAGAATGAAGTTGTATAAAAAAAAACAACAACAAAAACATTTACTGAATTCATTTGAAGAGTGAAGTTGTTCAAAGAAATACATTAAAAAATATATGTCATTAAATTGTAGAGTCAAGTTATATTTCAACAACACTCACACACATCCAATGGTTATTCATTTCTCAGGTGAGGAGATCCCCACCACAGCCATGCGCGAGGTGAAAGAGGAGACAGGGGTGGACACGGAGTTTGTTTGTATCATCGCGTACAGACACATGCACAACTACAGGCACGGGTGTTCAGATTTTTACACGGCTTGTCTCCTGAGGCCACTGACCACAGAGATCAATGCCTGCCCTATGGAGATTGAAGAATGCAAATGGATGAATGTAAGGTTTCTCAAACTTTATTTTAAAGCTGATTGTTTGAACACAACCCTCCCAAGCACACTCACCCAGTGTGGCTTAATTGTGACTTAACCTTCTGTCAACTCCTGTTTACTGCTAGAAGTATGGCATAATTGTGACTTTACCTTCTGTCAGCTCCTGTGTTCTCCTAGAAGTATGGCATAATTGTGATTTTACCTTCTGTCAACTCCTGTGTTCTTCTAGATTTGTAATCCATCAAATTCTTTCACATACGTCGTACGAGTATTGAATGAACTCAAGTCCTTCATCACAATATATGTAACTTTAAGACCTAATTATATGCATAAGCTTTAATTGCCATAAACATATGCATATAGCGCAGCTGG